GGCCCCCCCCCCCCCTTATTAAGAAACTCACCTCCACAGCTCCCGTTAGAGGACCCCCCCCCCCCCGGCACCCCCCCCCCCCCCCCCCCCCCCCCCCCCCCCCCCTTATTAAGAGACTAACCTCCACAGGAGGATTACTACGGTAGAAAACATGAACAAGCCGTGCTGTAAAGTATCTAACAGTATTATAGGTACTACAAACTACTAGTACATGACTATGGCTTCATCGGATGCGTGGTTAAATTACCATATTTCCTAACATTCCAGCGTGTTTTAAAGACGTATTCTAAAAAAAGTTCCTTCCAAGTTTTAATAAAATGTTACACAAGTATGTAACGAAAAATGTGTTATTCATGAAACTGTCGACATTCGGCGCATAATTTTTAAAAGAATGTGAAATTCCAAATTTCAAATTCCAAATTCCAAATTGCAGTTTTAATTCATGGTTTACTAAAATTACTATTTGCGCTGCTTGCTGCAATTTACGTTCCAACGAAATCATGGGTGCCCAATCATGGAAATGGTCGACAACAAATTCGGGTTTTGAGTAACTAAAATATATATTTAGTTCGAAGCCTTAGTGTCAAGCCTGCTATGCAAAGAATACATAAATTATACATACATCGTGTGGTGTTATATAATATGTACAACAGTGTTGTGCAAAACACACACACACACACACACAAACACACACACACACACACACACACACGCACACACACACACACACACTCACACACACACACACACACACACACACACACACACACACACACACACACTCACAGCTACGTTTCACAAGCTGGAGAATGAACACGTGACATGTTTGTGCATTTTTTAACATAAAAGAACGCAACATATCGACTACTTCTGTTAGGTGTCTCATGTTTTGTAACATATTTACTATTTAGTACTCTCAGACTACATAGCCGACCAAGTATATAATACTTATAATATGTACAAAATAATATATTATTATCATTGAACCCCCGCTGTTACAGCCGTAACATGTAACCAATTTAGCTACAATCTTTAAAGAGCAACATTGGGCTGTCTCAACACATCTCACAAATTGTATAATATTTAAGAATAATATGATTTATTTAATGAAAATGCGATTGTGTTACATATTACAGGCTGGATCCTAACTAAAGTAGAGAGAGAGAGGATGTAATATCTAAATAGCCACGTTACACTTACAGCTACTCTAACTACGATCTTATTCCGTATAATACTAAGAACAATATCAAGTAACCAGTGTAACAGGTATGTTCCGTATAGTACTAAGTACAATATCAAGTAACCAGTGTAACAGGTATGTTCCGTATAATACTAAGTACAATATCAAGTAACCAGTGTAACGGATATGTTCCGTATAATACTAAGTACAATATCAAGTAACCAGTGTAACAGGTATGTTCCGAAACACAGAACTGCGTAATACATAACTAGAAATACTAATTTAGAAACCAGAGCATCACTGCAACCCCCCGAGGAAACTCAATATTCAATATTATAATATTACATTCGGTGTGGTGGTGCTGCCCACGTGTGCTGCCCACGCGCACGTGCGCTTAAAACATGTTACTTTCAGCACATATTACATTATGTAGTCTTTTATCATCATTGCACCTCATGTCGGGACAAGCTGATTTGATGAGATGTGTTGCAGTGACACACACACACGTGACACGTGACACACACGTGACACATTGCTTATATCTCCCAAACTACTATGCACCTTTCTCTTTAGAGATCGAGTACATTTAGTACAGTCACCACCGGTAATTGTAGTTAAACAAACTATAACTAGTTACTTATTATAATCAATAACTAGTAGTTACTAATGTCTTACAAAAGATATAGACATTGATTTGTTATAATTAATGGGTTTATCAGTGACACTTTATCATCTTACTAGATATATAAAGCGAGACGACATTTATATATCTGTTACCATTTTACTGACACAACGACATCAACTTTAACACGACTTTCCGCGAAAACCGTGAGAGATATATCATTGAAACTTTTTTGGCTGGCTTGAATGCTTTTATGGCATTTTAACCAGTACGAAGAAATTAAAAATTGGCCAAGGAATAAGAACTTTAGGTCCCGAAATTTGGACCCCCAAGTGGTGTCAAAATCACTAAATAAATAAATATTGTTGTGATCTCTTCATTCTTGACACCACTTCAGGGTTAAACGGGTTCCTGCTAGTATGTTATAAGTAACTATAATTGCAGTCAAATATGTTTTTGCCAGGTTTGCGACTTTCACAAATTCTTCAAACGTTACAGAAGACTTGAAATATGACCTAGCTGGTGATGTTAGCGAAGAGTTAATTGCATCTGACAACAAAGCCCGCGTTTATGAACTCCATCTCAAAATGTTACTGTGCGAAGTGCTCTCTCTAAATCAAAAGAATGCGCAAAGCGGGAACATTTCTGTAAGTGTCCTATATAATGTGTACATATGTGTGTGTGTGTGTACATGCTCAACATCTCCTTTTTTGGCAACCATCCTATGGCCAGCGTTATCGAGGACGACCACCATGAAGACCTTCCCGGACGTCCTACTTGAAGACACTGGAATGGAACCTGACCAGCTGCGTTAACTCATGTTTGATAGGGATAAATGGAGAGAGAGATTTCATCTGGAACGACCTAGGCAGGCTAGGCAGGGTGTGTGTGTGTATATTATATGTGTGTGTATGTGTGTGTATGTGTCTGTGATATTTTGTATGGAAACAGAAAGACTTATAGTTTATAGTAATTACATTACACACTATATTATATAATACATGTATGTATGTGTAGTTGCATGCATGACTCACTGGGTCACATGTGTGTTACATGAGATGTCACGTAACCTTACACAATGCTTGAAATATATATTTTAGCATGACATGTGACATGTAAAAGAGAGACCTCCACACACGCTTATATAACATGATATGTCACGTGCTACACCTGTCACGTGATACACCTGTCACGTGATACACCTGTCACGTGATACACCTGTCACGTGATATACCTGTCACGTGCTACACCTGTCACGTGATACACCTGTCACGTGATACACCTGTCACGTGATACACCTGTCACGTGATACACCTGTCACGTGATACACCTGTCACGTGATACACCTGTCATGTGATACACCTGTCACGTGCTACACCTGTCACGTGATACACCTGTCACGTGATACACCTGTCACGTGATACACCTGTCATGTGATACACCTGTCACGTGATACACCTGTCACGTGATACACCTGTCATGTGATACACCTGTCACGTGATACACCTGTCATGTGATACACCTGTCACGTGATACACCTGTCACGTGATACACCTGTCACGTGATACACCTGTCACGTGATATACCTGTCACGTGATATACCTGTCACGTGCTACACCTGTCACGTGATACACCTGTGATAGTCCTATAATATATCGACAGTGTGTTTAGAGGGAGGTGGAACAACAACTAATAATATGGAATATCACGTGACTAACATATATTGATGTATAATACATATCACGTGTAAAATAACATGTAATACATGTCACGTACGTTAATTCCCCAGCTTTTGCAGGATATATATTATAATACATATTATATAATATTTTAATAATGTCATTATTACGCGCCTACTACCAACACTGGGAAATACAGGAGAGAGAGGGTTAATAACACATGTAATGGCCATGTGTGTAGGGTGTGAAATTAATGTGAAATGTGAAAGTGAAACAAGAGGGATGGAGAAAGAGAGAGAGAGAGGAGAGAGAGAGGGAGAGAGAGAGAGAGCGAGAGAGAGAGAGAGAGAGAGAGAGAGAGAGAGAGAGAGAGAGAGAGAGAGAGAGAGAGAGAGAGAGAGAGAGAGAGAGAGAGAGAGAGAGAGAGAGAGAGAGAGAGAGAGAGAGAGAGAGAGAGAGAGAGAGAGAGAGAGAGAGAGAGAGAGAAATAACTAATAACACTTAGACGCACATTCCATTAGTATAGTAGGTACACTACATTGCTCGTCTGACTGTACATTACATTACTCTGTACATTACATTACATGATAGCAGCGGGAATGAAGGCGCTCCGTCAGTTAGCTGGGATGAGTCCAGATCAGCAGTTGTTGCAACACTGTAACTGTTTAACAGCAGCTCTGTATGTTGTATCTCTCTCTACTATAGCTGCTGGGGATCAACACAACAGTTACAAGACTTCGGTCCGTTAACTTACTGCACAACATTGTGCACAATTATTATCTAGTGACACATCTCCAATTCTCTCCTGTTTTCACTCAGGATGTAGAGTGGGTGTCTTGTTATGAGGTGACTTGAGTTTAATGGCTGCCAAGTTTTGGCGGCAACAGCCCATGTAGCAGTGCTTTGGCAGAAAGGAGCAGAAACCAGTCACATTGAAGTGCAAAAACTGTCACCACTTTACAGAACAACAATCTTAAAACCAGGACAGCTGATTTGTAGATTTCTTTTAGTGTGTGCTATATAATAGTGATATGATATTCATTATTCAAAATGTATTACGTTATGTATTACGTTATGTTTTGCCAACAAAACAAGATCTCAGTATAGTTCTAGTTATACAGGGAACTTAAGAATTGGAATTTATTAGAATTTATTAGAATTAATGGAACTGTGTCAGATGATGAGTCACGTGACATGATTGAAGTGAAATATGACAATTTAGGGAACTGTATGAATTGTGATGGAAATGAAGTTGGTTTAATTGTAGGTACTGAACAGTGAACGTATTACTGATAATGATTAAAAATTTACCGATTATAATTGATTTTTAACAACAACAAAAAACGTTGAATGAGCATTATATTCAAGAGAGAGGAAAAAGGTACCGAGATTAAACTGGTTCCATAAATCAAAGTGAAACGCAATTGATAACCAAGAATGCACTGGAAATGTTCAGAATCCCATTTTGGGTTTTACAATTTTTGTAATAAAATCGGAAAAGATAGAACATTCAACTTACCCATGATTCTTCTACGCCATTTCCATCCTGTAAAAAAATGTTGTAACACTTGAATTTCAATTCTTTGGTAGGTAGGTAGGTCTGTTTGTGATGCAATTGTTCAGGATACCAGGCACGATACAACTGGGCACAGAATTATTTAATTATATAATGTAAAAGTTTAAATATCTGGATGTAACAGGGCAGGGACCCTGTCTAATTCGATAATAATTATTAATAATTATATATTTTACACATAATCCAATAACGAAAGATAGATTCATTCGCACTTCAGCCAAGCTAGATGTCATCATAGGATAAAATTATAAAATAATACATTCTAGCATATATAATTGAGATAATGAGCCAGAGCTATATAATCAAGAAGAGGGTGGCGCATGCTGCAGTCAAACTGGATATTTGTTACTATAATGATAAAGTTAAAACCTTTGATTAAGGTTAAGTTAGTATTTAATTTAGTAGTTAAGTTAGTATTTAAGTTACAATAGTAAACAATTTTAATAGGGGGGGTTAAAAATTGTCCAAAAAGTGATTACGTAATATGTGAACGACCCCACGCCGTACCTGTAATCTAGATGGTCCTACAAACTATTCGATTAACTATTTTATATAATCAATAAAATCTGCATCAAATATGCTATCTAGATTATATTCTATTGTCTAAGATTTAAAATGTTAACTAAAACCACAATAAAAATAAAAATAAAACAATTGTCCAAGTTGTATAATCTACTGTAAATAATTTTTTCAAATATTTTTCCAAATGCTGGTAGTGTTGATGCAGGCCTGAAATTCTCCAGTAACTCCTTGTCTTCTTTTTTATATATCAGGGTTATCTTACCCTTTTTCAGTTGATCAGGGAAGACGCCTTCATTCATGCAGTTGTTATAAATTCTGGCAAGATGTTCTGATATGGTTTGACTACATTGCTTCATTACACGTGCTGGTATATCACTAGCTTTACTGTTATTTTTTTTTATTAAATACTTTTCAAATTTTACAGAGTACAGCAATAGATGAATATAAAATAGAATCGTTCAAAATATCGCCCCCATCTGTAAAATATGATGGGCACCCAAACACGGTAAACACATAGTGAACTATGTCCGCAGTAACTTGGACCCATTACATCGAATTAATCTCAGAATAAAACAAATATTCAGAATAAAACAAATATTATATTCAAATCTCTTTATTCAACAATATTAAATCATTATAGAACCTAATTTGTGGCTTGATCGTTATGTTAGGGCTATTCTGTTAGCTGATGCTGACAGGCACTGCATGGGGCAGAGACTTAGGACCATTACGCTGGAGGCTTACAATGACCCTTTTTGAACCCCATGGCAGTGCTAGTTTTATTATGGTACAAATTGTAAATCGAAGTTATGGAAACGATCAAGTCACTCCTGTTTTACACTATCAACAGCTACTTAAAACAACCTAGATTGTACAACTCACTTTGAAGATTAAACTGTTAAGTGATGAGTGATTGGGCTCATTAAACATTTTAGTAGCGGAGACATGCGGATCAGCTTCTTGAGGTTCTAATAGTTCATTCAGACAAGAAGTTTTACTTTTCCAAATTTAGTTGTTCAAGCTGCCTGAGTTCAGAAAGTTTGCCAAAGGGGCCCAGGTATTCTTGTCACCTTTACCCTGAGACGAGAGAATGACTTTTTTTACCTTTGATTTAAATACACCATGAGTGATTTCAAGGTCGTTCAGTGCCAACATCTGACGGAATGAATTCCAAAGGCAACTAGATTTGTAAACGAAACTGTTTGAGGGCATGGTTGTTATAAGAAGAGTTTCTTTGCCGGGTCTTTTAGACAAACAGAAAAGTTCAAATAGTGCAATTGGTGTTCGATACTTAAAGACTTTAAAAAGTTCATTGCAGCAGTGATACGCGTATAAATTATGCAATGTCATGAGTGATTGACGGGCAAAAATTGGCTTGGTGTGCTCTCTCTCAAAGAATTTGCTAGTAAGTTTCTGTTCACTGATAGGTCTAGTCCTAGCACATGTCATAAATTTATCAAGGTATGCTTTTTTGTCACCAAACATGATACGAACACACTTTTTCTGGGCTACAAATAGTGGTTGAAGTTTATTATTACTTGCACCTCCCCAAACGGTAATGCCATAAGATAGGTGACTTTCAAACAGTGTGTGGTACAGGTCCTTATGGATAGATGATGGAATTTTATCCTTAATCATGTATAGCCTCCCAGAACAGGATGAGAGTTTTCTAACTAGTTTGTCTCTATAGGGATTGAAAGTTAGGCCTTCGTCGACAATTACTCCCAGGAATTTCGTTTCCTGCACCTTTGAGAGAGGTAGGCCATTGAGGTAAAGTCTATTTTCAATTAATAAAGATTGATCATCAAGTTTTCTTTTAGCTGTATTGAATTCTATATAGCAACTTTTCATGTAATTTATTAGCCAATGTGTACTCGTGGACTGATCGTAGGACCCTATTAGCATTATTGTAGGCCTCTGCTCTAGTTTTGGCAACTACAAATATGTTTGTATCATCAGCAAATAAGACATAGCTAGTGTTATCGAGTTGAGAGTTTGTTAAGTCATTTATGTATATTAAAAACAGGAGAGGCCCAAGGCAGCTCCCCTGTGGAACGCCATAGAGAACAGGAAGTCTGTCTGATACTTCGCCCAGGACGGACACACACTGCTCTCTGTCCGACAAGTAACTTTCCAGTAACTTAAGTGGCACTCCTCTAATCCCATATATTTCAAGTTTCTCAAGCAAAATTGTGTGGTCTATTGTGTCAAAGGCCTTGCTTAGATCAATAAAAATTCCTAGAACATGAAGACCTTGCTTTAGGGCCTTTTGGATGTGAAAAACTGAGTAGTTAAGTGCATGTGATGTTGAGTGACTCTTTCGGAATCCGAATTGACTGTCGTGAAGGATTCCTTGACTAACCAAGAAGCTGTAAAGACGTTTGTATATTATTTTTTCAAAAATTTTACCAAAAATTGGAATCTAAATCCAAAAATTTATGAAAAACTATTTAATAACAAACAAATCCATGGTGAATAACTGTGGATATATAGTCAAAATTGGTATTTCAATACGTCAAATTCCAGATACATTAGATACAGGTCTGATATGGTCATTAATGTGTGAGGTGTGCGGGTGAAGTGTGATATGATGTTGAAAGTATAGGAAGGTAGATAAAAAAATTAATAAAACAAAAATAATAATAATATGGGGAGCAAATAGACTAGGCTAGGCTGTTGTTTCACTATCCAATAAACATTTCCATAGATGCTTAGTGACCTCAGCTTTGAAAACACTTGTAGACACAATCTGTCTTACCTGTAAAGGGAGTCCATTCCACAGTATATGAGTTCTGTAGAAAAATGATTTTGCCAGTGGGCTATTTGAGGTACATAAGGTGTGTGAATTCTGACTTAACTTAGGTAAAATTGATGACACAATAGACAGACTGTCGAGGTGGCAACGTCTTAGTCGAGAAGTGCCCTGATATAAAGTGAGATAGTGAGGCAGCCATACAGGAATTAAATTGTTCAGAACTTTGTGGAAAAAAATAAGATCATTCAAGTCAAACTTTTGAGACAAAGGGAGAATGTCGACAAGCTTGCACTTTTTGACATATTGCTCAGGTGGATAACTGCGGCCCTCTTCAGACAGAATCCATTTAATAGCTCTTTTTTGGAGACTTTCTAATTTATCAATAAGTGATTTATTACAAGGGCGCCAGATTATGGAACAATTTTCGAATTGGCTACGAACCAGGGAGAGGTAAAGCGCCCAGCGACGTTTCTGATCAATGACAATATGGCCATCTCTTCTGACCATACCAAGTTGTTGGCAGGCCTTAGTATAAATTCTGTCGCACTGACTATTCCAACTGAGCTTAGGAGTAACATCGACTCCAAGATCTTTTTCTAACTCTACATACACAAGAGGAGAGCCATCAAGATTATATGCGAATGGAGGAGATAAAGATGGTTTTCCTGAAACAATAAGCACTTTACATTTTGCTGGATGGAATCGCATTTTGTTTCTAAGTGCCCAGTCAGAGAGATAGTCTATATCCATTTGTAAATTGGTATTATCAGAAGATGAATGTATTTTACGCCAGATTTTTGTATCATCGGCATACAAAACAATATCAGTATTATCCGAAAGGCCAAGAGGAATATCATTGATAAACAATACAAAAAGTAAGGGACCAAGGATAGAGCCCTGGGGGACACCAGAATTAACTGAGAGGGTAGATGACATCTCATTACCAATAACCACTCTTTGGTAACGGCCTTGAAGGTAATTGGTAAGAAATTTGAGAAGTGTACCATCAATGTTATATAAGGTCTTTAGCTTATGAAGAAGGATATCATGATTTACAGAATCAAATGCCTTAGCAAAATCAAAATACACAACATGATTGATAATGTTTTCGTTAAGAGACAATGCCAGGCTATCACAAAAATCAACCATATTGGTTGTGCATGACTTGTGCTCTAGAAAACCATGCTGCCTGGGATCAAGAAGGGTACTTGTCAAAGAAAGCAGTTAACGTTTAACAATGCGCTCAAAAACTTTCATGACTAAACAAGTAAGGGATATTGGTCTATAGTTTTCAACCTCACTTTTCTTACCTTTCTTAAATATTGGGACAACATTTGCAAGTTTCCATTCTTGTGGAATGTAGCCGCTGTTGTAGGATCCACAAAAAATGCATGTTAGAGGGTAAGCTAAACCTACGCTACGGAACAATTTTTTAGAATTTTACCGTGTATGCCATCTGGTCCCTGGGCTTTATTTGAATTAATATTTGAAAGAAGCTTACGAACATCCCGATGATCGAAGTCAATATCAAAATCAACATCATTGACATAGGAGATGTCAGTGTCATAAAGTGAAGGATCCGAAAACTGGTTATAAAAGAAAGAATTGAAAAGTTCAGCTTGATCTTTGGGATTGAACCGAAGCTGTCCAGAATAACTAACACAATTAGGAATACAGCAGGAGTTAGATTTATACTTAACATGTG